AAAAAAAAAAAAGAAAAGAAAATTATAAAACAAACAAAAAAAAAAAACCAAAAAGAAACCCTATGGGACCAGCTGTTGGATCTTAAAGTCTTTCTCTTCCCTCCTGGGAGTGGCTTCCMCTCCAGGGCCCCCAGAGGAGTTGGACAGAGTTGCTCCGGTGGTTCACTGGAGGATCTTTCTCACCTGTCGTGCCACGGGAATCCTCTTAATTCTCAAATGATGAAGAAAAAGAATCAAGGAAAAAACAAGTCCAAAGAAAGGGGAAATAAAAAAGAATCAGTCCCAGAGAGCAKACAGCTTCTTCCCTGCCGCTGAGCCCAAGACTCCTCCAGGAATGTGTGTGACTTGTACCTTTCCCTCCCACTGTCTTTGAAGAGAGGAACACCACAAAACAAACCATAGCAGTATTGTATAGTTACAGAAGGGTTGTTTACCTTTCCTCTAACGTAAGCAGATGGTAGGAATACAAATACTCAGCTACCCTAGGACAGCTGGATTTTTCCAAAGTCAGGAGTTAGAGGTCCATTGAATGTGATTTGTTCCACCTGTCTCTGATACGTCTTGAAATAGCATTCTGTAAAAAAGTTTATAAGCAGAGCCACTACTAAACACCTTAAACCACTAGTTTGGAATAAGTAGTCTAGGACTAAGTCACCATAGTCAGCTGTCTTACTTGCCTTAAATAAAGTAGTTGTGCTAGCCCAAGGACACATGGGGAAAAATATGTTAAGAGGGTAAAAAAAGGTAGATAAACCTTGAAAAAAAATACAGATATGCCAAGGATGTCACCTCTTTTCTGAGTTACCCCTTTTTCATCAAGTGAAGATTTTAACTTTTATTTTGTTCCTTGCTGACAAAGCACTCTGTGCCACGGCAGTGACTGTGGAACAACCATACACCCTCCTCTGGCTGAAATCACAGGTCCTTATCTGAAGCCAATGGACATCAAAACCTGTTGAGGCATTACACCATGAATTCACACACATGCAGTAGGTCAGAATCACTGTGCACAAACTGAGCAAGTGAGTTTTACAGGTGAAGAAAATCCAGCACATTTGGCATATAGATCTACCCATGTCTGGAATTTCACAAGTGGAATTGTGGAACCAACAACTCCTGGCAGCATCCTAATATTGAGTCAGTGCCTTCAGCCATCCAGTCTGAGAGTGCGTTATTAAAAGACATCCAGGAACCAGTGTTTCATTTGTTTTGAAATTCTGTGTCGAAGTAAGTTTCCAATACAGTAAGCAATGAGACAGCAAGAGCCTATATTAAACTCCCAGGGATCTAACACGTAGCACACTTTCTCTACTAACATCATGCTTCAAGTGCAGAACTTACACCAGCACCACCTTACGAGCCTCAGTTTTGTACATGTTGCCCTTGTCTGTAGAGCTGGCAGAAAGAAATTAAACTGTTCACCGTTGGGTTTTAGTACCCCTAAAGAAAAACATAATCTTGGTTTTATGAAAGGTTTTAAGCTTCAATTAACTCGGACTAAAGTACAAGTGCTGACTAGGTCTTTTGAGCAGTATTTGTCTCCACTGTGCTGTAGCAGGTTTTCTGCTCCCTTGTACGAATCTGTCTGTGCGTCCCTACCTGCGCTTGACGCCCAGTGGGCACAGCAGGTGGAGCTCGCAGCTGAATGAATACGCCGAGGGAGACGCCTAGTGTAAAACGGTGCTCATGGCACCGAGAGCTGCTCATTCTGCTGCCACTACCGAGCGCTTCTTTCCACCTAGCGTGGAAAAGCTACACACGGAGATGAACACAGCATGCGTTCAGCATATTGCACATTTTACAGCCGGGGACAGTTCAGAAAACTAGACTCGATTTACACGTGCAGTTGCATCGCACGAGTGAATACTCTGTGTGCTAAGAATGGCAAATAGCAATAGGACTATGGCAATAAATATCCTTACCTGGGTAATAATTCCAGGGTTAATGTAAATATTACTTAATATGGTTATTGGCCTGCACACACTCAAGGTCGGATCACACTTCACCTGCTGTTGCTGCTCTTGAAGATAATACATATGCTGATAAAAAAAAAAAAAATGTCCCAAAGTGATTCAAGTCAAGTGTATCATCCTTGTTGATAGATGAAAGTCTCCATGCCTTGCTGAAGGGAGCCATGTAAACCAGGTAGTAATAAATCCATGCAAGTCATGAATCTTGCACTGCAGCAGCTTCTCTGCTTTTGGGGGGACTTGCCAAAGATAGCCATCAAATTGGGTTTCCATTGTATCTGTGATTTTCTCAAAGATGATAACAGTCTGTGCCACTGCCTGGCACTACCTTCCTCACAGAGGCACCCAAACAGGATCCTGGATTGTTACATCCATATGTATCTAGGCTTTAGCTCTAGAGGCATTTTTATTTCTCCTCTTCTAGACACTCCTATAATTTCTTCCTCTTTTTTTCACAAAACTTTAATCAAAGTTTTGATATTTAGCTGAAGTATGCAGGTATGTGAAAGCTTTCCTTTTTTTCAGCAAGGAAAACAAACTAGAAGCTACGTTTTGTATACCACAGCTTATATTCCCATGCAGCTTTCTCTCTGAAAGGCTGGGAGAAGGCAATGCCCCAAAGAAGCACCAGCTTGACAGATACAGAAAGCCTCATAAAACTGGCACCACTGTTTAGAAAAAAGGACAGAGGAAAGCAGTCAGAATGATAAAATAGTCCCACCTTCAGCAAGATTCAGAAATAGCTCCACTCTGACAGCCTTTACTCTCTGTTACGGACCATGTTCTGACTGTGGTGCTCAACAGCAGCCCAGATTATCCAGTTCTGTTAGAAACCCACTAACTCTGAAATCGGAGTTACGATCTTCAGCAAAGAAGGGTAACAGGAAACCTCTGCTCATCCTGGAATTGTCTGCTGTGACTACCTATTGTTTACCAAACTTAAAGTAAAAGACTGTAAGGCAAAGTAATACAAAAAAATACATTTTGTCAAAATGCATGTCAATGGCTTCAACTAATACTCTCCTGACATCTGTAAACAAGTCTTCGACTGAGGCTGGTGTGGCTGAGACTGGTTTCTTCCTTCCAGTCCTGGCTAATTCTAAGATGATTATTTTAAATCTGAATGGAAAAAGGATGTGAGAAATGCCATTGACTCCAATGGAAGTGCAAGTGATTTTCATGCAATACAAGAGTTTTCAACCAGATTCTTTGCTGAACTAATGAGAACTAACCTCGGCAGCTGTCTTCATTACAATTAGAACGCCTCCAAAGCATGTTATGGAAGCAGTCATCTTGCCTTCATTAAATTATTCAGCTCAGGTACTCAGATGTAATACTGATCTGGCTTACTGAGGAGATGAATGCAATCTTAAAGCAAATTTGCTCTGTAAGCCACGTGTCAAAGAATGACAGTCTTCAAAGCTGGAAAAAAAGGAGGGGAAAAAAGAATAGTTCCAAGTGTCAAATCAGATGAAGATTTGACATAATTCTTTGACTGTAAAACTAACTGTTGAAGCAGCTTAAGTGACTCAGAAGTCAGACAAAACACCTGACAGTTTTTCAGAGACCAGTGTCAATGAAGGTGCAGTTAATTGCAGTTAACATCTCTCTGCAGCTAATGGAGGGAACAATTATCTCCATGAGGTGATTCACCTCATCTGTGTAATGATTACTGACATAACTTAATACTTTTTTTTTCCCAGTCAAGACAGCAGAAGAATTTTCTAATCATTCTCCTCCATCCCTCTCCCTGCTGCCTTGCCAGTCTTAATGCCCATGCCAGCTTTAACAGGTTTCTCCTTCAGCCACTGTAGCAGCATAAAACCACTCTGTAGCAGCATAAAACCACTCTGTCATCTTCCCCACAGAAAGTAATGTGCTTCTTGGCTGTCTGTAGGAGCATCCTATTCCCAACTTGTCACTGAAGAAAATATATAGGGTAATTATATCTCTTATATCTCATATTAATAATGGGGAATGCCCCTTTTTCCTTCATTAGCTACAGAGGAAACTTAGATGAATAGATCAGATAGGATGCCTCAATTTTAGATGCTGCAAAATGTAACATTTTAGCTGACAAGCACAAACATATTTACCAGAGGACAGTAACAGCCAGAGATCAGCTCATAGAAGCCAAGCCAACTCTGACCGTATGAACCAGTAGACAGTAACTGAGACAAAGAACTATGTATGTCTGTGTCTGCAGCACACACACGATGCTGAATCAACAACTTCAACCGAACACGGCCAGCTCCCTCAGCCTGGCATCGTAAGAGAGATGCTCCAGCTCTTAATCATCTTTGTTGCCCTTTGCTTTGACCCAGTCCAGGAGCTCCAGGTCTCTCTTGTACTGAGGAATCCAGGACTGGACACAGCCCACACACAAAGCCAGATGTGGCCTTTCCAATGGTGCAGGACCCTGCATTTGTTGAATTTCAGCAGGTTCTTCCCTGCCCATCCCTCCAGCCTATTGAGGTCCTTCTGAAGGACTGCACAGCACTCTGAGATTTTGGCTGCTTCTCCCAGCTTTGTGCCATCAGCAAACTTGCTGAGGAGGCATCTGTTCCTTCATTCAGATCACTGATGAATAAGTTAAACCAGACTGGACCCGGTATTGAACCTTGGGGATTGCTTAAAATATTCCTATCATTTGAGGGGTTGATTTTGATTGGTAAATTCTTTGTAGTTGCAGACATTTTCTAGCTAAAGTACAGCCATATATTGAATTTAGTTCGGCCCAACTTTACTCCAACAGAATTCCTAATACATGGCAGAACAAACACCTGGAAAATGTGAGAATGAGATTAAAGGACAGTTTAACCTGATGACATTCAAAATTTGAAAGTAAGGGGAAGCAGAACTTGGAGATACGCCATTTGGTGTATCAGTATTATTTATAGTTGAGAAGCTTGGGAAGCAGCAGAAAAAAAGTTTAGTTTAAATGCATAAGGACGACATCTCCCCAGAGACCCAGAT